GCCGGTGTCGTTTGGATCCCGCCCGTCGTACCGCGCCGCGGCCGCCGCCTGCGCCCAGGCGGGGAAGTCGTAGCCGCCGGCCGGCCCCGCCGCGCCCAGCGAGACGGTGGCGGGTGCGGTGCGGCCGGAGCGCAGCTCGGCGAGCGCGCGCCGGCTGTTTGCGAGGTCCTGCGCTGCCCACTCGGTCCTCAATGTGGTGTAGGGGCCAAAGGCGCCAAGCTCGGCGCCCTGCTGCACGCGGATGAGGCCCTGGCCGTCGGCGCGGCGTGGGGCCACGGTGACAGCAAGCAGGAGTGTGAGCAGCGCCAGCGGCTGCCGCGTGAGGCGACATGGGGCCCTTGTCGCCAGGTGACGTTGCATGCCGCTTGGAAAGCGAGTGTGACCTCAGCAATCAACTTTATCTGAAATTGTTGGGTTGTCATGCCCGAATGCGCACATGACCCACGGGCCAGGCTGTTAGTCGCGTCGCTATCATGCAGGTGCGCGGTCCCGATCGCTCAAAAGTGGAGATCTATTAATCACGCGTCGGACGCTTTCTAAGAATTACACAAAGAATATTTACTGCCAATTGTGCGTGTACCGGAGGGCGTCCGTTCAGCACGGGCGGTGTGTCATCGGACGGAGTGAGTGATCGCAGACGACGCCTGGCCCAAGCTAGCCCCAAGCCAACAAGCATATAGCCTCCACACTTGCGGCACAATCTCCTTTGGGGGGAGAGGGTCCCCCACCGCCAGATGACGTGATGTGACTGTCCCGGCCTGTCACTGGACTGCACTGCACGCCGCGCCGGACCCCACACGCCGCCGCCGCACCTGCAGAGCGCATGACGTGTACGCACCTAGACCCTGCGTACGACGCGACGCACAAGGAAGGCGCGTCAGAAACTAACGTTGGGCGGTGCCTGCTGCTGGTGGCCGCACCCAGGCACTCATGCAACGAGTGCCGCGCCGGCGAGGTCGATCCCCATTTGGAAGAGGTCGTGGTCAGGGCCTATTGAAGAGATTCAAGGCTGTGACCTCCGCACTCCTTGTCCCCACGCCCAGCTGCCGGGCAGCTTCCCACCTACAGTGGTGCTAGATCCTGGCAGGCTCCCAAGTGTATGGCCCCAGGGCTTTGCCCAGGGCCCCCCGGGATCCAGCCGTTACTCGCAAGCAGTGACGACGCCGATGGAGACAGAAGGCCGGCGCGCCGACGTCAGAAGCGTGGGTAGGCACAAGCCCCTGCTTTGACCAGCGCTACACAGAACGGACGGCCGTGGCCCAGGCTGAAGCCAGCCTATTGCAGCGGTGGCGCACGCGGCCGTACAGGGGAGCACGCACCAAGGCCGCTGTGCTGGATGCCTGCGTATCAACAGGGTAGCGAGACACTTGTCCGCAGCCGGGTAAGAGCACGCACCGCTGTATCATATGATTGTGATGGGGCGCGCCGTTGGGAAAGCCAAGTGCTGGTGTGGCCCGCCAGCACAGCAGCTGCCTGGCCTCGCTTGTTTTGACACGCCCGAGTCGATTGCACATGCCACACCCCGCAAGTTGGACACGTGAAGGGACCACTTTCAAAATTCTGGCAATTTGACATCATGAGTGAAGCTTCGGCCTCCCTTTGGAGTGATGGGAGGGCGGGTGCCCCTGACTCACGGTTGCTGATGTGGCGAACCCGCCCCTCTGAAGGGACCTCTGCTGGTCCAGCACGGCCGCCACCCCTCTAAAAGGCAGTATACCCTCCAGGACCCCGCCTTCAGCATTGCTGCAAGCAAGTATCGGCAAGCCCATCTGCGCAGGAGAGCTCCCTGGGGTGCAAAGTGCGCCCCAGCACGCAAAGAAAGTGGAGCCAGCTGCTGGGCAGCAGAAGTCCACAAACAGCCCTGCCTGAGCATGCCACAGACCAAAGAGGCTTTCCCCGGCAATGCTGCACGTTGGTGTTGATCACGTATGTTGCAGCTGCCATTACACGTGAGCCTGGCACAAGCAGTTGCGTGTGAAGGTCGCAGCAGCGCTGCTGAAAAGCACGCAAACAGTAGGGCTGTCTCGACCCTGGCGGCGTGCAGCTGCATCGTAGGCATGCGGCCCATCTCCTCGACTTGGGCGTCGTTGATGGCGCGATGGTAGTTTCTGAGGTGCTTCTATGCCGCGCCCCATTGCGAGCCTGTTTGCCTATGGGGCGGCGCATATGCTGGGTCCTGCCAGGACTGTGTGTGTGGGGATTACAGGCGCCGGCTGGTAGTAACAATTTCGGTCATGCAGGAATGGCCATTTGCTCACATGGTCACGTGGGGATGGCTTGGGCTGGGAATCACCGGGGATTGCTGCAGTCCAAGTCCACCCTTCTGGTGACTCGCCCCGTCGAGCTCACGGCCCACTGATGTCGTAATCCCTATGCCAAGCCATCAGTCCTGGCGTTTCCTGCACACATTGGCCGGTTGCATCACTGGCGTTCAAGAGGCCCGCCTGTGGGCGACCGTGGTGCATGCCTGCTTGATATGGGTACAACATATCGTCCCCGCTGCAGCCAAGCTTCCTCTCATACCCCCGGCCACCTGGGCGCGCCTTCCGCGTCGAATGATGTTGATGCAGGCAAACAGCACTGGATTGAAGTTCGACCCACCCCACCCGCCTCGCAAAATAAGCCAGCAGGAATGCACGCGCAGTGCGAAATTGATGATGCATGTTTGACTCGCACTGCGGGCCGCCGCTTGGAGTTGCGCTCCGACCGAGATCGCTGCGCGCCGTGGGGCTTGCCTGCACAGGCTGCAGGCTGGTTTATTTTGGCTGCAAGCGTTTTCAAGCGCAGCTAGCTTTGATCTTACAGTATAAGCTATAAAGTTCGGATGCGGCCATAGTCTGGAGAAGTCCACCACGTCCTTCTATCGCTGCTATATCGTGCCTGCAGCACCGCCGCTAGCGACGGCCCAATGCCGCCGCTGCTGTCGCCGCCCCCACCGTTGCCGCCTCGGCTGCCGCCGGTTGTGGCAGGAGCTGGTGCCGGAGCAAAAACAGGAGCGGGGGCAGGAGCAGGAGCAGCCGCGGGCGCATCTATACACCACCCGCTGACAGAGCACACGCGGGTGCCGCTGCACTCGCAGAGGCCGGCGCAGCGGTTCGATCCCAGCTTGTTCCTGGCCTCATCCAGGTTGTACCCCGGCCCCTTCTTGCAGGCCGCCGTCGCCGCAATGCCGCTGCTGTTGTCGCCGCCGCCGCCGCCGCCGCCACGCGGGCCGCTCCCTGCCGTGGGCGCGCCCGCGCCTGTGCACCAGCCGAACTCGGAGCACGCGCGGTCGCCGTCGCACTCGCAGGGGCCGGCGCAGCGGCTGGGGCCCAGTGTGTTCTGCACCTCGTCCACCTTGTGGCCGGGGCCCTTCCTGCAGGACACCCACGACGCGTTGCCGCCGCCGCCGCTGCCGCCGCTGCTGCTGCTGCTGCTGCTGCTGCTGCTGCTGCTGCCGCCGCTGCTGCCGCTGTTGCTGCTGCTACTGCTGCTGTTGCCGGCGGCGACAACGCTGACGTCATCGTCGCCGTCAACGCCCCAGTGCACCTGCAGCCCTATGACCTTATCGTCCTCCGGCCCCGCCGTCCGCTTGCTGCCTATGTAAAAAGTGAACGCGGCGACGTGCGACGCGCCCGGCGGCGGCGCAACCTCGTGCGCGCCCGCGCCGCTGCGGACGCTGCCGCCGATGCGCGTGGGGCCGTCGCGCAGGTTTGTCCAGAACGTGAGCGAGTCGATGCCCCAGCCTGAGCGCACGACCATCTTTGTGATGCGCTCGCTCGGCTGGAGGTTGAAGCACTCCTGGACCAGGGGCTCGACAAGGTAGATGCCATAACTGTCGGGATTAGGTGCGGGCGGCTGGCCGTTAGGGACTTGATCGAGGGTGGTGCAAGGTGGCACTTGGGTATGCAGAGGACTGGCATCCACAAGGCGGACGGCCGCGAAACACGGCTGCGTGAACTGCGGGGCGGCACGCCCAGCCCGGTGGGTCAGGCGGGGCGACTCATCAGCAGAGGGCCCCCGACGCTCGCCCCCGCTTCAATTGCAATCTCTCGAGCCTGCATGGCTCCAGGAGGGGGCAAACACTGGAGGCTGTAACAATCCTAATACCAACTCGAATCCTCCGGCAGCCAGGGGCCACGCGTCCCGCGCTCACAGCTGGCTGGTCGCGTTCCCATACTGCACAGAGATGAGGGGGCTCCACCAGCCGCCCGTCCAGGCGCATACCGACGTCGGCGGGCCGTACTTCAGATAAGCGGCCCGGCCGTCATAGATCGCCGTCGTCACTTGGTTCCCCCTGGTGGACGCGATCTCGGGGGTCGTGCCAAACGGGCCGGCCGGGGCGCCGACGACCGCGCGGGCCCGGCGAGCCGGCGGCCGGGCGTCGCCTGCGGTGCGTGGAAGCAGAGTCTGTGGACAGGTGCGGCGGCTGCAGCGCTCCGTCCTGCCTGCAACCGCGTTTAAGTGGCTGCTGCAACATGCTGCAAGCAAGGTGATTGGCGGCCCTCTCCCCCCAAGGCCGCGGCGCGCACCCGGCTCAGCCTGGACACCGCAGACGAGCACCTGCCGCCCCCTCAGGGGCGTCTGCGGGTCCGCGCCGGGGTACATGCGTGTGAAGTTGGCTGTGAAGCCCAACAGGTCCTCCACCTGTTGATATGATAGTCACAAGCCATGCCAGACCGTCAAGGCAATGTGAAAGAGAGTAGAAAGCTATTCATGACAATGACACATGACTCGCGGGGCGGCAAGCTTCGTTATTGCACCGGCTCTGCACCTCAATGTGCGTAGTTCTGGTGCACAGCGCGCGGGGTATTCGACCAGCCAGTGACAGCACATCTGTCTCCCATCAAGTCAACAGCGGAGGTTTGCGCCGCCATGGCTCGCCTTGAACTTGTACCCGACGTCCGCCAGCCACTCGCCCGCGGGGCGCGCGGTGTACCAGCCGCAGGCGCCCCAGACCTCGTGCCTCTCCAGCCGCGGCGCCTGCGGCTGCTGCCGGGGCGTCCAGGTCAGGCCGAAGGTGTCCCCAGGCGACAGCATCCCGAGGCTGAAGGCGGCGGTGTAACCAATCTGCAGCAGCATATTGAAGTTTGCCAAACCTTCAGTGATAAGCAGTGCCCCGTTGGCCATGAATTCAACATCAAAAGCAAAACCCGTAACCGGCGCTTGTCAACTCGAGCCAGATGGGGGGACCGCCCGGCGCTGGGGCCATGGGCGGGGCCGCGCCGCAGCGGCCGGCGGGCGGACGGGCAGACAGGCGCTGGGGAGGCGAAGGGGCAGTGCCCCCCACCGCGCATCACCCCATCCCTGCGCCGCCGGCGGCAGGCGGGCCCCTCGCAGCGCACCCTGAAGTAGCCGCCATCGCCCCAGTCCACGCCCCAGCTGTTGCGCACGCGCCACCAGCCCTCGATATTGTCGTAGCCCACGATCACTACAGCGTGCTGCTCCACCTTCCCGCGCGCCGGCGGCGCGCTGGTCAGCACGCCGCGCGGGGTGGCGTTGAAGAAGGCCATGAATTCTGGGGTCAGGTCGACCCGCGTGATGACGCCGCCGTGGTTGCGCAGGTGGCGCTGCACCTCCTGAGACACGACGCCATCGACGCCGCCGCGGCGCCGTGGGTTGGGGGGGTTCCGAGGGAGGGGGCGGAGAGGGGGTCCGGTGTGGAGCGGTGGTGGAGTGCAGCAACCATGATGCTCATGGGCCGAGGCCGCAGGGGCTGTGATGACTTCGTCCACTTGCTGCGCCGGTTTTCCCTGAGAATGCGAGCGCTCGCAGGCGATTTGCAATCCAGTGCGAGTCATACTCGCCTCCTCACCCACTGCTCCAACAGATCAAAGAAAGCGAAGCTGCCATCTGAGTACGCCGGCCGCCGCCCGCCGCAGCCCTGCCCGCTGACCCGTGGGACGCACGCGGCGCGCGCGCCGCCGGCGGGCCCCGCGAGCGGATCGTAGGGCAGGCACCGCTCGGGCGGCAGGCCGTCGCCGCCGGGGCGGTTGTTGGACGCCGCAAGGCGCGCGAGCGCTGCGCCGAGCCAGGTGCCGCTGCGGCAGCTGCCGCCAGCTTGGTCGGGGCTGTCAAAGTTGCACCAGTGGAGAGCCTGCAGAGGGAAGAGAGGGAGGCCTGGGGAAGGTCAGCCGCGTGTTGGTGGCAAGGTCAAAGGACGGGGCGTCACCCTGCGCTTCCAGCAGCAGCGTCCGAGCGCCGCCTGTTCTTCAGACACGACAGCGGGTCAGCAGTCCGGCCGAGACGCACCGCAAACTCACGCCGAGCTCGCACACACCTGCGTGCTGATAGATTCCTCGAGCACCGCGTCCCGTCGCAGTGCAAACGCGACGGCGCTGGGTTGGGGGCAGGACGGTTGGCCGCGGCGGGGTTTGGGGGAGCTGGGTCGGCGGGACAGGGCGCGTGCTCGCGCCGACGGCTCCGCGAGCGCACACCCGGCACATCTGGCAGCTGCTGCCTGCAGCGCGCCCCGGCTGCGGGCGGGAGCGGCCAAG